GTATCCGTACATGAAATACATAGTAGGTGTCTGCCCTAAACTTTTATACCACATCAGTTGGCCTGCAGATCACCCATGATTCTTTAACTACTGTTTACCCTGGGGAAGTTTTTTTAATTGTTTTTAAATGTCTTTGTGGATGTATTGTTCAAGTTTTTCTACGATTAAATATTCAATTTGATAAATTACATATTTTCTACCTGTTTACTGAACCAACTCCGAGTAAGGGATTTCTATAATCTTGGGGACATTTCATATTTTGAATAGATATTTGATAACTCAGTATGCTTTGCGAGTCATTTGTCCATCTGTGGGGTGTCATGGCTTGGTTAAAGAATAGTGAAGATGTAAGTGATGATGGGCATTATTGCTGTATACCATTCATTAGAATATCTGGATTGCTGTATTGATACTTCTCAGCTAAAACTCAAATTGAAAGGGGGGAAAAAAGGATATTTTTGACAGACTTGGCAAAGCAGTGCTTATAGGTTTACTAATTGTATTTTTCTTGGTGTCTAGCCATCCCACTCTGGAAATGTCATTGTCTCCTGATTATCCATTTTAGGTCTGCCACATTGACCAAAGGTTCATGGATGTAGGTATAGGTTCATATATCTAGCAAACCATGAACCTGTCTAAGTTATTTCCAGTTTTTCACTTTAAGTACTGTATAAGAAATTCAATAAAACCTTGAATGCATTAGCTATAACAGTATTTTTTTGGTATTTAATAATATCATTTCCTTGGCTCATGTTTTGTTCAAATTTCTTGACAAAGGTCTAAAATGTGACTTTCCAAAGAGCCACATCATTAACTAGAATCTAAAATTAATATTTTAATGTTTGTCTGTGTGTTCTTAATTGGCCTGGCAATACTAAGGATTTGTTTAGCCAAAGACTGAAGCTAGCAGTGGAGAAGCTTTGTAATCGCCAAGTCAACAGGCTTTGATTACATAAATTAAGCAGTTAATTTGAGCCTGCTCCCATTTGCTTTAAATGGATAACAAACGTCTGTGCTTAGCTCTGGCTGCATGGAGAGCTCGCTTGCTGTGCTCAAATAGCAGATCCTAAAAACAAAGCAGCCAAACTGGTTCCTCATTTCATACTAATTTATGGGTCTTATGGTCGGTCATCCCTTTGTTTCAAGCCACATGTAATTCATCGGGACAACAGAGTGCGTTATAATAGCACCAAACCAAGTTGGTAGCCCATCTACCACCCCAGTGGCACTTGCCAGCTTGTATTTTCATTGTCAGGGATTTGGGAACGACATCAAAACTTTGGATAATGTTCTGTGTTGTTTTGAAAAGTATGTGTAATATATATATATATATATATATATATTTATTATTATTATTTAACTCTTTTTGAGTGGGTATATTTAGGCAGTTGGTGAAAGCAAAACTGCATGTGGTATTACAATATCAATGTACTTTTGCCCTTTTTTCTTTGAACTGCTTTGATTCTAGATTTTAAGTTGAGAAAGCCGTAACAATAATATAATTCTATAATACTCTACTTTTTATTTTCATACTCAACCTGACTGGACTGTTAAATTTTGGATTACAGCTGGAGTGCACAAACAAGTAAAACCTGGAAGATTATGTGCTAGGCTGGTTTTCAGTGCCCACATATCCTTGTTATACAGATTAATATGGAGCTTTGAATAATGCTAGGTGGTTTATTCCAATGCAATGAAAAGACAGACATTTTGGATGATCTCCAAATGACCACTCGGTGCTTTTAGGATGCAGCAGTCTGTTCCTTTTTAACCAAATTCTTTCCATTTTCTGTTCTTCAGATCTTTTTCAGATCTGACTGAAACTTTTTACACAACTGTGTGCAAATCTAATTTTTTTAATTGAGGTAGTGAGTGCAGTATAGGAATTCTACATCTTATGGCTTATTTTTATTAACATTGATTTTTTTCCCCCTTTTTTATGTGACTTTTTCATACAATACGTATGTGGTGATGTACAGAAAAACACAGCTCAATGGACATGGTGTGAACCTGCCCTTAAAGTCCATCTAGGGAAATAGTTTTTTACATAAAGGGTATTAATGGCTGTGCACACCAGTACAAACTGAACCTGAAAATGTTCCAAGAACATACAAGAGCTTCTGGAGTAGGTGGACCTCCTTTCTGTTGTAATATATGGATGCATAACAGGCATGCTCATTTGTATAAGAATTTTATTTTGTAATGTAAAACATTGTTGGATTTAGCCCTAGTTTTGATTTTTAGTGTTTCAAAATGAAATATTTTAGTGACTTGCTTGTTTTTCAATCAAATTACTGAATTGGTCAAAGGTCCGAATTCTTTTGCAAAGAGCTGAGCTTTACTTTCAGGGCTGGTTCACACCATCTGCTGACCGTTGCGTTTTTTTTTAACTGCACCAAAAACTCTTACACAGTAATTCCAATGGTTTAAATAAGGCCAGTTCACACCATTGCGTTTTATTATACTAGAATGTATGGAAATGCACTGGAATTTGGTTCAACCGACGCAAGACCAGTTAAAAACTGGATGAATGCATTTGATGAATGCATCAAAAATGCAATAAAAACCTGCATAAACGAATATGCAGAGATGCATCAAGATCTGGTCTGGATTTGGAGTGAAGAAGTCCTCAGTCCTGTCGGGGATTAGTCTAGCTCTTTATTCACTGAATTCTGGGGGGTTGTTTTGTTAATGGTTTTTGAAAAATCAAGCTTTTCACAATTTAGAATTAATGATCTTCCACCACTAATGCTTTTGTGAGCATCCAATATTCTCATCTAGGAAGACCATAGTTATGATTGTATGTATTGTTAACAATGTGACATCTCTTGCTTTCTGTTGTATCATTTGGGTCTACTATTACTATCCTGACAAGATGCTTTTTATATTCATGGCTACTAAAAGATGAAGGATCTTTATCTTCTAATTCAGGGCCTGACAAATCCCAGACGCCAGGTCGACAAGGTGACAAAATGCGCCTGGGCTTTTGTCAGCTCATTCACTTTCCCCCGCCTCCTCTCCCGCCACAGTCAGTTTTGCTCTCCCTTCCGCCTCCCCGCTGGGCACCAACTGCAGCGCTTCATGTTCCCTTCTATCACCGCTGCTCTCCCTGCCTGTGTTGGCAGCGGGGATTGGGACTGGTCCAGCCTGCGACCATTGGGGTAGGATAGATCACTGGTAAACGGTAAACGCGCGCATTAAAATACCTTGCTCCTAACTTTTTTTGCTGGCTCCTAGATTCACAGAATATTAAGCTCTGTTCTAATTACCCATTCGCACAGCCTGTAGTCCCTGCTCTTTGGCATATAAAATGGAGAGAGAGAGGTATACCAGTGGGTACAAAATGCTAGACAATTATTAAAATGTAGTAATAGGATAGAGGTCCCCCCAAAAATCTCTAATTTAGCAGAGTCTTAAATCTCCAACGAATACATGTTTGTTGAATCCCCTGACTTGTTTTTCTGATTTCTCTGCTTTGTTTAAGACGAGTGTCAATCTCAATTTCATTGCAGGCCACATCTGCGTTATGGTTGCCCTCAAAGGGCCGGTTGTATCTGTAATACTATTTAAATGGATCTACTCTTTATCATATTAAATAAATGCCTCTTAATTTGATTATTACTATGTGCTCTCACCGGTACTGGTTGGCCTTGGTGTGTGCGGGCGGGGTGGATACACAGGAAGGAGACTTGTTGCCGGCACTGTAAACAGGCGCCACGATTCACAGGAAGGCTGCCAAGACTTTACTGGGGACCTTGGCAGCATTCCTGTGGAGCCCAGCACCTTTTTACAGTGCCGGCTTCGGTTTAAAAATGTTAAGTGAGAGGTGCGAGGACCACATAAAATGGCCTGGCGGGCCAGATTCAGCCGGCGGGCCTTGTTTTTGACGCATGTAGTCTAAGATCTAAAAACAAGTAGCCATTGATACATTTTGTCCTCATCAGGTGAACACAGTCATGTACTACATAGTGGAGAAATCACAGATGTATCTAAAAGACACAGGGTCCAAATTAAAAAAATGTCACTGACATTTTTTTTTAAATGTGTTAAATTCCTCTAGACTAACAAACTGATGGAGAAGCTGAAGTGAATGAAAGAGATTGTAGATATATATTACAATATAATATGACTATATACCTTCTAAATATAAGCAAGTGGCCATCTGGGTTGGGCCCCAGCGCTCATGAGTAGTTGCTTCCTTAGCTTCTCTGTCTTTGTGACATAGAAAAATGTAGGGCCCCTCAAACCTTGGCTTCCTCATGTACTGTGTTAATGCATGTTCTTTCATCCATTAATGTGCATTGTGTTAAGGCAGCCTATCCGAATGAATGGACTGGCAATAAATCCCAAAAATGGACATACACCATAGTTGGCAATACAGTGCAACGCAACACACGGTGTGCTTTTCCATGTGTTGTAGTGCACTGCAACGCACATGCATTGGAGCCAAGATTGAAAATGAATAGTGCTGCATACATTACTGCAACATACCGCAGCAGAAAAGTTTGTTTCTGCCGTAAATCAATAACCATTCATAATTGATGTATGTCAAAGAATGGTCTTACACTAAACAGTTCAGCTTAATAAATGAAATGGTTTACTAGAATTTTTTATTTTTTATAAAGCACCGAAAATTCACGGAGCGCACATTCGAATCAGTCTCTGCCCGCAAGGAGCTTACAATCTAAGGTGCCTATCTCACATGCATACAGGATTTAGACAGGAGCAAATTAACCTTCCAGCATGTCTTTGGAGGGTGGGAGGAAACAGGAGTACCCGGAGGAAACCCGCACAAGGAGAACATGCAAACTCCTTGCAGATAGTGTCCTGAGCAGGATTTGAACCAGGGACCCCGAGAGCTACAAGGTAGAAGTGCTCAGCACTAATGTTCTTGTAGAAAACTGAATGTTCCTGTATTAATGAAGAGGTTTAGGACATCTAAACAATGCAATATTATTTTAACTGGTTTACTAATGTATTTCTTTTACCTTTTTCCACAGAATGATATAAATGAAATCCCTTTCTTTGACATTCAACTACCATATGAAATTGCCCTAAAAATCTTTCACTACCTGGGGAAACAAGAACTTGGAAGATGTGCACAGGTACCTGCCTATTGTAAAATAGAAGTGGTGGTGTCACCCTCTTTTCTGAATATGCATATTAAATCTATTGGCATTTTTGGTGAATAAATTATTGAAAAGGCATACTTCTTTATCGTACACTGAGGGACACAGGATCGTAGAATAGTCTTTGACATGTGGCTTACACTGCCTCCTGCAGGAGGTATTAACACTGGCAAAACAAAAAAACATTGAGCCAGTTCCTGTATAACCACACCTCCAAACATAATGCCTCAGTTTGATCCTAGGATTTTGAACACCCTTTACTCAACTCTGTTGTGAAAACCCTTTTTTTTCCTGCAATCTTTTTTTCTTGGTAACGTAAAATGGAAGTAAAGTAAAAAACAAAATGCTGACCGTTTTTTTTCCCCCATCATCCTCTTCAGTGTCTTATACATCTGTCTGATGTGAGTCTTAGCCCTATAATACTGCCACAAAGCCCACAATATCAAGTTCATATTTTTTAGGGCTGAATCAAATAATCAATATAATCGATAATGAGAATCGTTGTCAATGTTGTCCATTCTCATGATCGATTTAGTTGTTGTGGAACTCCTGCTTCTCTCATCCGTGCTAGGCGCCATTGTCTGGTGATCCACCTGCCGGCACCCATTGGGGAGGAGAGAGCAGTGACAGGGCCAAGTCACGATCAGGGCAGTACGGGGAGAAGAACTGCATGCTGATCAGCAAATATGTGAAATATTTGCTGATCATTCCCTGTAATATTCAAACATCACAGTGTTCAGTACTAATCCTCTCCTTGCGGGTCCCGGAGTCAGTGCCATTTCAGTAGTCTGAGGAGGGGAATCTATCTAGGCCGGCGCTGTATACAGGCTCCACGAGGTCCCCAGGAAGCGTCAAACCTTACAGCAGCCGAATCAATGTAAAAAAAAAAAAAAAAAGGGCTGGTATTCAGCTGTGAAGGTCTCATACAAGCAACCAAGCTTGCCTGTCATATGGGCCAAATATCGTTCACATGCGTAGAGCACTTTGGTTCTGTGTTTGGGAAGCTGTTGATGCTCTTAAGGATCATTCAGTTTACCTTACCTTCAAAGGTCGACACCTCTTTTGTTCTGCCATTGATCTCTCTGCTGCTTGGCGTGTTCAACTTTCCCACCACTGGAGGTCTGCAGTATCTAGGTGGATCAACCTCCCTCTTCATCTGTTTTAATAGCAGCTCCTCACAGATGTACAGTCTTTTTCTCATTCATCAGCAGATCTCTAGGCCACAAGTATCTTCCGTTCAGCCCTGTGCATAAAGACTCACCCCTACTTTCCATGTGGGAGCCTGTCTGCTGTTGTTTTAACTGGTTCATGTGTTGTATCCTAACAGTTGTGATGCTTCTTACACTTCTACGTGTCTCTTTTGCCAGCAGTGCTTCAGTACTTTTGTACCAAGATAGAAATGCGCCCTTGAGTGTGGTATCCCAATTTTTCCTGCACTCCTCTCTGTTGTGCATTTTTTTTCCATTATTGGGTTCCTACTTTTATTATGCTGGCTTGGTTTATACCCTGTTCCTCTCTGTTGGGATTTCCTAACTCCCTAATCTGTAGGAATTATTTTCCAATAGTTTGGTGGTTTGCATGTCTTACCATTGCACAAAACGCTGTTATCCGTAGTGCCTTTTATTCTTTCCCCTTAGTGGAATTGCTTATATATTTTCATAAGGAAAAGTCAGTGTGCTACACCCTAATGCCCCATCCACACCTGCAAATGGTGTGAATGGCGAAAGTGAAAAGGAACTTTTTCCCCCACCTTTTTATAATTTGTTTTTTTTCAATAATTGTATAAATAATAATAGTATACTAAGCACATGGCGCTTGAATAGCTTCAGCCAGGGAATGACAGCTGCCAGTGGCAAGATTCCACAGACAGCAGCTGAATGTAAATACAGTAGGTAGTGGACTGGTGCAATAGCAGGCTGGCAATTGCCCCCTCACACTGCTTGTTGTGCCCTTCTCCCAGCATGGAGGAGTGAGCTAGGGGATCCAACCAACTAATCGATAATGAGAATAGTTGACAACTATTCTCATTATCGATTAGTTGGTTGCAGCCCTAGACGTCAAGAATTAGATTTTATATTAAGTACAAAAATCTATTTTTTTTCTTTTTAAGTATATCACTATCTTCTGGCACTGTTTTGAATAAAGATTTAATGTTGCTTGCTCAAAAATGTTGACTGTAATACTGTCAGAACTGTCTCTGTTCAGTTTAAACTATATTTAAAGCCAAAAATTTTTTCTTTTTGGATGAAGTAGGGAAGGGTTAAAACTGCTCTCGGGTCTTTCTGACGTCACACGTTCAAGAGTAGACAGAGTTTTTATTGTTGCCGGCCGGCTGCTGCATTTTTTAACTGTGAGTTACTTATTTTCAAATTCGAATAAAATTTTATAACTGCACCATGAGGGTTTCCTTTTTAATATAATGAAATATTGGTAATGAGCGTGGTGGAAGGAGCAAAATAAGAAGGGGTAGGATGCTGACGCTTTCCTTGATTTTCCTAAAAACGCTTCCTTGGCTGTTACTAACAGTCAGAAATTCTGGTGAGTGCCCAGTCACTGGGGGGGTGTCTTTTGATTGCACGGAGGAGCACCATCGTATTGGAACACTGATTAGTTTGTTGCATCTGCACTTTAGACTTGGAGAAACTTTTTTTTCTTTTTCCCTTTTTTTCACTTGAAAAAGTCGTTCACATTTTCACCAAGGATTGGACTTTTGCTGTGAATTGATTGTTTGGGTATTAATGTTTGGATTAATTATCTTTACACTTTTTTGTTTCACTGGTTCACAATAATTTATGTTTTGATTTGCTATAATAATTGCT